TCCAGCTGCCGCACTTTGCTGCTGACGTTCTCAGCCAGGCTGCAGGTGAAAGAGATCATGCCGGACAGCTGGCTGGCATCGCCCTCTATCAGCTGCAGGTTGGGCCTGTGGGCACAAGGGGCACTCTCACTGTACTGGCATGACGGATCGGAGAAGCACAAGTCACTCTGTTCCTCCCCCTTTCCCTCCAGGAGAATGGAGTTTGGCTGCTCAGGAACTCATCCCAGAATATCCAGGTTTGTTAACCTTAATACACGAAATGAAAACAGGCTGAGCAGGACTGTGAAGGCAGCCAGCAAAACTACTGGTGCACAACAGGTACAGCTTTCAGACATCTACAGTACGTCAATCAAACAGTGTGGGAGGCCAATATAACCACTGACTGTCATGACCACCTCTTGCACTGTGAGTCTGAGCTCTTTCAACCTGGGGGTCCGTTCAGACTGCCTGGTCTCAAGAGCAATAGAACTAAGTCATCTTTTATTCTCCCAGTTATTAACCTGCTCAATTTGGACAATTGACTGCATGTTTTACTTCATCTATATTCTTATCTTAACTCTGTGGCTCAGGATCTGTGCCTGTGGCTGGAAGGTTGCCGGTTCAAATCCCGCAGCCGGCAGAGGAATCCTGCCCCTGAGCAAGGCCCTTAACCCCAACTGCTCCAGGGGCGCCGTACAATGGCAGACCCTGTGCTCTGACCCCAGGCTCTCTCCCTGTCTGTGTGTCTGTGTGTCTCATGGAGAGCAAGCTGGGGTATGCGAAAAGACAAATTTGTAATGCAAGAAATTGTATAGGGTTAATAAAGGTATATTATTATTGTTATTATTGTGTTAAATATACTGTGTTATTGTGCCGTGTCTTCTAACTGCCTGCAAAGCTAATTTCTCATCTGGGACAATAAAGTAAAAGGGAATCAGCAGCAGGGACATGGCTCAGTAAATTGGGGATGGATTATTCCACACATGCTTGAGGCTTTTTTTTAACAGTCAGGGCATTAGCGGTCCTGCTCTGCACTAAGAGGTTTGTCCACAGAACAGTACTGCAGAAACACTGTCGAAGCAGTGACTGTTGACGGGGCTGCAGTGTGGAGATGGACTGGAGTGTTGTGGGTTCGAATCCCAGGTAAGGATGCACCTGTTGTGCCCTTGAACAATGGCGTGCATGTTAAATGGGTGTGAACCATGTCACTGTTTTCAACTGAGTCGTCGTGGGTTCAGTCCAATGGGCTACACACTCACCCCATCCTCTGCAGGGCTTGCATCTTGCTCTCGATGTTGCTCTGCTGGCTAACCAACGCCTCCAGCTGCGATTCCGTCTCCCTCTGTAGGAGGGCAAGAAGTCAGTGAGCAGACCCAACCAACACGGCGCGCTGACTGACGGATATACAGTATCCTGTACAAGTAAAAGCCGGTTACCGGCTTGAAAGGTAAGTTTTATTCAGGCGAATATGACAGTCGAAAAGCAATGTATTTTGCTATGGATGATTATCACAATAGGTTTTGAAACACGGCGGTGGTTGTCATCTAATTGTATGATTGTGGCAAGTATTATATCGCCTATTGTATATTTAACTGTTAAATGTTAAATTTTAACATCTCTTTGAATTTAACTCTTCCACAGAGCGCAGCTCACAGCTCCCCTGTCTCACCTCCTCATCACACAGCCTCTGGTACGTCCGCTCCAGCTCCTCCAGCTCGGTGATGGCCTCGATAGCATCCATGGTGACGGCAGAGGAGCGGGCCAAGCCCCCGCTGGGTCTCGGCGCTGGCGCTGAGCTGGACTCCGCCATGTTTCCAACGCACCAACACAAACACGGACACTTCCGCCTGTGCGAAATCCGGCTCTGGCTCCGCAAGGGTCCTCGCAGAAGCCTGTTTCACTGCCCTGGCTAACTCATTGTATTACCACAGGGAGTCATTAAACAGTCTTCTGAAATAGAAACTGTTGATCTGTATATGTGAGGTTCGTGTAACGGAAAATAAATATATCGGTAAGTTCTATTTATCGACATTTATTTTTAAAAGTAGTTCACAGAAGAGGAGATATACGAAGAAGACTTGTTCACAGCACAGGCCTTATTTTTTTTTACTGAGGCTTAGCAACAGTCACTGATCACTGATCAGGCACGTTTCTAGCCACCTAAGCGACAGCTTTCGCTTGAGCGGAGGAAGGACCCCAGACTGGCGGCGCTGCGGTCGGATCCAAATACAGAGAGGGAAAATGGAGATTTAACAACACTTCATCCGCGTCAAAATCATCATAATCCTGCGTGCTACACAGGTAATTCATACTCACAATCTACCTCCACATCTAATTAAACTCGTTAATTGCGATATTGCCGTGGAGTGGGCGCTGATGTAAAAATTTAGAAGATTCCGGGATTAGGCTGATAGCTTTATGAATGAAAAGTAAATAGACGCCACTGAAGTGCACGACCTTGCTGAATCTGTGCGGGAGGATTTAAGATTTTAAGTTACTGTTACCTTTTTTGAAACGCGTAGTTTTTATATGTGCGCTGTTTCACGACGAATCTCCAGTGTTCAACCGCTGAGGAAGCCGGGGTCACGGCTCAGGATCGGTCAGTCAGTTGGGATACGTTTGGTTACTCTTGATACTGTATTTTTTGCAAGAGCAATGGTTTAGAAAAATAGTATGCTTTTACGAATTTCTAGGGGAAAAAAATCTTTCAGAATTCAAACTTTCAAAGCAATCATTTTGTACTGAAAGAGTTTTAAGTGGACTCACCCCTTGGTGCTCTGCATAGTCCCACCAGGCATCTGAAATAATTGGCGCACTTTAAGTAATTTCAAGAGCAGTATTACTAACATTTCTCTAAAAAAAAATATTTTCCTTGGCCAAATTGTATTCCAGAGACAAAACTGTTGTGAGTTAGGAAGATCTGTATACCTTAGAAGCAAAACCGTCATGCGGAGTTAACAGTCCCGTAGCTAGGCCTTGTTTATACTGAGGCGTATTTGTGCGTTGTAATCTTGTTACAAATCTAAAAATGTTTTGAGAATGAACTAGAACTCTCCTGATTTGGGAGATAGTTTACAGTGAAAGCTCATTTAACCTTCAAAGCTAGGTGATAAGTATTTGCAGAGACACTCCAGGGAGCACCTTTTATATAGCAGTGTATTTACTAGGGCAGTCCGATTGAAACTTTGCTATAGGGTACCACTGCGAGTCCAACGTGGGGGTTTGAACTCGAGACTTTCCATGCAGAACCCTGACCACTGCTCCTCCTCACAGAGACTCCGAGCAGAGTTGCAGGAGCTGTAGGCAGGGAGGATGAAGACGAGAGTAAAGCTGGTCTTGTTTTATTGGTTATTTTTTAATCGATGTGATAGATAGATAAGACTTGATTGATCCTGAAGGGAAATTGATGTGTTACAGCAGCCCAGGACAAGCAAAAAAAAAAAACAGACATCAGGATAGACAAAAAATTAGCATACGTACAATAATATAAAATAAATAAAACAAAAAAACAAACGTCTGTGCAAAATATGATGATAAAATAAATACAAATAAAAACAAACATGAAATAAATAGAATTAAAAACAAACATGTGGTTTGTGGTGTAATGGATGGTGTTCTCTCTCTCTCTCCTGCTGCAGCTGTGTTGGGTACCGGGAGCTAGAATTGTTCGTCACCTGTCCGGCCCAGAAGGCTGAGGGGCTGCCATCATGTTCCTGTACAACCTGACGCTGCAGCGTGCCACAGGCATCACCCACGCCATCCATGGCAACTTCTCTGGTACGTGCCGCGCCAGCCCCAACCCACCTTTCTCTCCTCCGGGGGCATCAGGAGGTGTCAGGATCTGCTCAGTCTAACCCCTCTCCTCTTCCCATAGGAACCAAGCAGCAGGAGATCGTTGTTTCCCGGGGGAAGATCCTGGAGCTGCTGCGCCCCGATGCCAACACGGGGAAGGTGCACACGCTGCTGACGGTGGAGGTGTTCGGCATCATCCGCTCGCTCATGGCCTTCCGCCTCACCGGCGGCACCAAAGGTCAGATTGCAGCGCAGTGTTGGGGGGGGGGGCTTCTTGAGCTGAGGCAAGAGATGAGCTGTGCTCCGTGCATGGGCTGTGTGGCTGCTTGATTCATGGCTGGAAACGAGTCGCTATAGGTTTTTGTCTCTGAACGAAAGTCACAACTGTAAATGCGACCCCTAATTGTTTGCGCGTTCCAGTTGGACACAGATGAGATCACCCAACCTAAGTGCTTGATTAATTAGGAACTAAACTGTAATAGCACCTTTAAATAAACATGATCTTAAACTTGCGTTACAACGGCAGTGCCAAATGTTAAGTACTCCTCTTGCATGGTGCAATAACCTTTTGGTCACGTACAGCAGTGCCAAACCGAGCTGCATTGCTGTGGCAATATGAGCTCCACAATCGATAAGCCAGACATTCACCCCTGTGTAGCACCAAGTTCCAACACCATAGTGGGGTACTCTTCTCTGTGATGACAGTTGATTGTGTTGGGCTGTTGTGTGCACGGCTGTTTAATAGACTTTACAGACGTATAGGTCAAAATGTGTTCTTCTTTAGACATAATGTTTTCTGTCTAATGAGACAGAAAACGTGATGTCTAAAGAGGAACACATTTTGTATACATCAACACATAAATGTATGCATCAGTAGAATGTAATATTTAGGCTAGTGGATCAAATTGCTCAACTGTGGGACTCTAATTAAAAACCTCTGGAAACGTTAGAAGTTTTACCTAGAAGTTTACTAATGTTTGCACTGTCTTTGGAGAGAAGTCTGCTTTGTCTCATTGCCGCCCAGGCCTGCTGAACGAGTCCTGTTTTCTTCCCAGACTACATTGTGGTGGGCAGCGACTCGGGGCGCATTGTGATCCTGGAGTACCAGCCGTCCAAGAACATGTTCGAGAAGGTGCACCAGGAGACGTTCGGCAAGAGCGGCTGCCGGCGGATCGTCCCAGGACAGTTCCTCGCCGTCGACCCCAAGGGCCGAGCGGTCATGATTGGTGAGGCGCCCTTTGGGAAGGGAGGGGAGGGTCTGGAGCTCATCGATGCCACTGCACAATCACGGCTTCTCACTTGCGGTGCATTTACACCCAAAAAAGTTCAGTTTGAACAAAATTCCTGAGTGATGCGACAAGTGCACAGCAGCAGTCTCTCAACTGCGCAGACTCGTCCCTGACTTTGAACTTCATGTTCAAACAGCGCACTGGTGTAACTCCTGTCTGGAGATCCCCTACCTTCAGTCTCTTCCTCACTACGGTTCATTTACAGTTTCATTTCTTAAACTCCAGTGTCATTCACTTGTGGACAGATGTAATGCTTGTTAGACTTTAAAACTCTGTAGAATAAGGCCGTGCTGTCTGTCTGTGCCAGTGTCGCTTAACTGATAGGGTCTGTAGTGTGTGAGGCAGTGATGAGGAATCAGGACAACTCAGTGTGCTGTGGAAATGATGAGTTTCTCATGTCTCTTCTCTGACCTGTAAATCTTGGAGAAGACCGGTTACTTCTGATCACAGCCAGCCTGAGACCTCTGTGTGCTGAGTGAAGCCCACTGTTTCACCCTTCATTGTATCGATGGGAAATACTTTTCAATTAACAGGACTCACAAGAAGGGGTTATCAGGTTCTTTTTGTACAGTTGGAACAGCCTGAAACAGCATGTCAGTTTACAGATGGTCCTGACATATTGTGGCCAAGCTCTCCAAGTTATTAGAGGCATGTAAAGGAGTATTTGGTAGTCTGCCAATGATGCTTTATAGTTATTTGTTTACAACTTATAAATAGTATATTAGCATCAAGTTTCCTGTTCCCTTCAGTTTGTTTGATTTCATCAGTGTGTGCCAAGATAATATATCTCTGTTGCACTATCTCATCTCTTGCTGTGCAGGAGCGATAGAGAAGCAGAAGCTGGTGTACATCCTGAACCGTGACGCCGCGGCCCGTCTGACCATCTCCTCCCCTCTGGAGGCCCACAAGGCCAACACACTGGTGTACCATGTGGTGGGCGTGGACGTCGGCTTTGAGAATCCCATGTTCGCCTGCCTGGAGATGGACTACGAGGTGAGGTCATAGGCCTGCCTCCGCAGGGACCGAGCTTGTGATCATTCTCCAAGTACCTCTTCACTCAGAATGGGCCGACTGACCTCATGGCTTTTGGAGGGAGAGAAGCAGTAACTCCTTTAATTATCTTTCTCACGAACTTGGGACCCCAGAGATGGGAACTAAGTGCGGCTTCTAGGAGCTTGATGCTTTTTCAGGCTTTAAAATGTTTCTTCCTCAATATATTTGGAGTCTCGCAGGAACACTGAATTTTTTTTTTATATATATATAGGAAAAATAAATGCAACAATGCCTGTTGTGGAGTCCTGTAAGTACCTGTAACTTTTACAATCCAAAATGGCAGAAATAATTTCTGTCCCTGCAGCAGAACTTACCTGATGGTAGCTTGCAAGTTTAAGCAGTGTGGCCGAGTTTGGTTTTCCCTGGATAGTGCTGTTTGAACTCCTCATGCTTCTGGCAGTTGCAGGTGATGGTAAAGAGAGGTAATAGATGAGCAGCTATCTCCAAAATCAGAACTATTATAAAACTCTGCTTTGGGATCGGCGTTGCAGTTTGTTAGCCAAGGCTGTCATCTGTTACTCCAAAGTGCATTTTTAGCCGTGACAGTCTTCCCCTGGCGTTGTCCGTCTGACCCGCCCTGTGCACGTGTTTCCAGGAGGCAGACAACGACCCGACAGGAGAGGCAGCCGCCAACACCCAGCAGACCCTCACCTTCTATGAGCTCGACCTGGGCCTGAACCATGTGGTCCGCAAGTACAGCGAGGCGCTGGAGGAGCACGGCAACTTCCTTATTACCGGTGAGATCAGCGGAGGGGGGCTTCCTGTGCGCAGGTGCACTCTGGGAATGCACCAGCATTTTGATAGATCACAGCTGCACTGAATCAGGCTTATGTGCAGTGGGGAGACAGCTTTTTTCCTGGTGTCTTATTCTCCCTTTTCTCTGTTTTCCCCAGTTCCTGGAGGGTCTGATGGCCCCAGTGGAGTTCTCATCTGCTCGGAAAATTACATCACCTACAAAAATTTCGGTGACCAGCCTGACATCCGCTGTCCCATCCCACGCAGGAGGGTGAGTGAAGAGAACTGAGTTCCAGCGGAGTGCAAATCATATGTCCCCGTGTGTACCAAACTTGCGATTCTAGCTGTATTGTAGCGTTTGACCCTGCCTGAACCTGCTGGTCTTGGTGCTCGGCCTCATAGGATGAAAGATGTTTTCATGTCTCTTCTCTGAGTGCAGCTCTGGAGAAACTTACATGTTCTGATCAGGCCCTTCACCAGCAGCATTAGGGGGGGGTAGGGTGAACAACTGTTAAATGTTTGGTTGCCAAGGAGTTCCGACAGCTGGAAACACATTGCGCTGCCCTCTCTCCTTATCGTTAATTCCGTGCTCCTTCAGGGGCCTCTGTCTTGGATTACATATGCTTGGCCCTTGAGCCTCTCTGATTGTGTAAAAGAGAACTGAAATTGCTGTGAAATCCTCACTCTGCAACAGCTGTCCAGTGTGAGCGAGTAAAGTGGGGTTCTCAAGCAATATGCAGGCAGGTGCTATGATTAGAGGTAACTTTTTTACAGCAGAGCCCTGATACTGTGTTTAAGCAGTGTTTCCATTAATTCAGTGAAGTCTATTAGCTGTTTGTGTGTTAAACAAGATGAACTGTACTTGTGTCTGTATCTGTTTTTCACATGGTCATCCCAAATGTCAAACATGATGTTTAATCTTAAGTGCAGTAGAGCCTCAGCCAGCACCTCGGGGCTGATAATAGTATATCTGTGCACAGTTTGAAACGCAGTGCCAGCATGAAGTAGTCCGCTCAGCATTCGAGTTGCTTCCAGCGTAAATCTGTGTGCAATCAATCGGTCATCTGACTGAATTCCGACTTGCTGTGCTGTGATCAGTGGCTGGAAATGTTTTTAACATTATTGGTCTGCTCTTTATTTCTCGATGTCCCTTCATTCCCCTCCCCTCTCTGCACAGAACGACCTTGATGACCCCGAGCGAGGGATGATCTTTGTCTGCTCGGCCACACACAAGACCAAGTCCATGTTCTTCTTCCTGGCACAGACCGAGCAGGGAGACATCTTCAAGGTCACGCTGGAGACGGACGAGGAGATGGTGAGGAGAGCGGTGGGGGGTGGCGAGGAGGAGGTGCTGAGGTGACCTTCCTGTGGTGGGGAAATGTCCTGTGCATGATGTTATATCTTCCTCTGGATTGGCAGGCCCCTGGAATACTTCTAATGCATTGATGAGTGCGGTTTAGTGGGTCTGTGTTTTTCAGTAGCCACGGGTGCTGTGAGGTGATGAGTTTCCTCATGTCTCTTCTCTGACTGTTGACTCCTGAAGAGTAAGTGTTTTTAACTCTGATCTCAGCCCCGTGCAGAAAGAGAGGTACTGCGTGGGCCTGGTGCTGCCTCCGCAGTTCATCTGGCACTGGGACGGGAGTCATATCCTGTCCTAGTATGAGAGTGGGACTCAGATCCTCTGCTTTATTCCTTAGGGTTTCCTGCTGTTTCCTGTTTTAATGCTAGGCAGTGTGCTGTGCAAGAATCACTGCCTCTTTCCTCTAACAGAAGTTGTAGCAGTTCTATTTCACTGGCCTCTGGAGACTGAACTCTCCTCACAACATTGAGCCACTGCTTTGATTGAGTCAAAAAAAGCTTATTAATAAAATTATCTCCCTTGTTTAGCCAGCAAGTCATCTGCTACTCCTTACAGAAAATATTTTTTTTAATCAGAGTTGGCTGTTGAGGTGTGTACACTTGCCCAGCCATAAGAATGACATAAAAGATGAAAGCATTTTAGAACATTTTACCCATGTCACAGTTCTCCTCCTGTGTCTCCGCCAGGTGACGGAGATTCGGCTGAAGTATTTTGATACCATCCCTGTGGCCACGGCCATGTGTGTGCTGAAGACTGGCTTTCTGTTCGTGGCCTCCGAGTTCGGCAACCAGTGAGTGCCAGCCGGTCACTGCTGCGCTGTCTCCCCACTCTCCGTGCGCCCCCTCTTCCTGTCTGCTACTGTGTGCACTCCCACCTTGGCTCCGAGAGTGTTTGTGGGGTTGTGGGCACTACAGGATTTTGCAAGAATCTGAATTAACTGGCTGCTGGAGATAACTAAGTCACCTCTGTTCCTGTGCTCTCCCGTCTGTTTTTGCCTTTTGGAGCACTCTCCCAGCTTTCGCGTTCACTCCCCCTGACCTGAAAACCTGTTTCTCTCCCTCTGCCTGTCTCTGTTCACTCGCCCCTCCTCTGAGCCTCTCCGACTCTGCTTTCCCCAGCTACCTGTACCAGATCGCCCACCTGGGGGACGATGACGAGGAGCCGGAGTTCTCTTCAGCGATGCCCCTGGAGGAGGGGGACACCTTCTTCTTCCAGCCACGACCCCTCAAGAACTTAGTGCTGGTGGACGAGCTGGAGAGCCTGTCTCCCATCATGTCCTGCCAGGTCAGTCAGGGCGGGCAGCTTGTAGAGCTGTGGGCTGTTGAGTCAGCAAGTAGGCGGATGTAATGTGTGCAGTCATGAGCCACTTGGTCAGTCAGGGTGGGAGGCTGTAGTGTGTGGCTGGTCATGGCCTGTGTCAGGCCAGCCTTCTTAGGTCATTCCCTAGTTTGTCTGTGGCAGCAGGCATGATTTGTGCATCTGTTGCTGGAGGGGAAAGAGCGGGGGAGTGGGGCTGCGTTGTGGATGTGTGGTTCAGAAGCCAGCTGTGCCGATCGAGTTGTTTTTTGGTCCTTGCAGATTGCTGACCTGGCGAATGAGGACACACCCCAGCTGTATGTAGCCTGTGGCCGAGGGCCGAGGTCCACTCTGCGGGTGCTGAGACACGGGCTGGAGGTACGGGGGCCGATGCCCAGAGCCCCGCTGAGCGAGGGGGCGGGGCTCTGAAATAACTGCAGTCACATGTCCTCACTTGTCCTGCTGTTCTGAGGGCAGCCATGAAGAAGGGTGGGAGTGTTGGCTGTGGCTGTCTGAAGCCATTCTTGACCATCTGTGGGATGAACAAACTGGTTCTGGTTGTGACGAAAGCCGTCGAATATTCTCTAGTTTGCCTGTAACAGAGAGTCCTGAAGGAAATTTTCTGTGGTTCTCCAGTCACTAAACTACTGGCCGTTCTGCCACTGCTGTGCTTTGCCCGGTATCTGTCATGAGCTGTATTTTCCAGGATCAGGGAAGTAGACTAGGCCAGCATCGTGATGTGGTTTTATCATCTGCAGGCTCTGGCATCGACGGCTCTATACTTAATTCTTGTTAGTGAATGCGTACAGGCAGATACAGATAAGTGTAAGAAGTTTTGCTTTTGTGCTTTGAGAGCTCCGCTTGCGCAGGAGTCTTGGGGTTTTATAGCCCGAGATGAATCTATATATATCCCTGCATGTCGGAGCCCTGATCCACGCGTCCCTCTTTTCTCGCACAGGTGTCCGAGATGGCTGTCTCGGAGCTGCCCGGTAACCCCAATGCTGTGTGGACTGTGCGGCGACACATCGAAGGTACAGAGGCCCCTTGTTCCCAGCAGCTCTGCAGTCGCTTTCCAAAGGGACTTTAAAGAGACTGACTAAGGAGGAGTCTTTGTCGGCATGTTCTAGGATCCAGGCTATGTTTGGTCGAAAGTGGTTGGAGTTTCATAAGCATATATAGGGAAAACCTGGGAGTTCAACTCTACAGGAAAACTTGAAATAGCGTCCAGAGAAGTTGGGAGAATTGGCTAACTTTCAAATAGGCATGCTTGATTTTATTTCCAGGACTTATAACAAATGTGCTGTCCTGCGTTTTGGTGTCTTTTTGCAGTCTTGTGTTAGCATTGTAACAGTATACTCACTTTAGCAAATACATTTGCGGTAGGTAAAACCTGATAGCTGTGGGGTGTCGGAATTCTTAAGCAGCATTTTTTAAGAACATTGTTCGTACACAGTGCTACAGTGGTTGGCATTGCTGCCTTGCAGGGCTGCAGGTTTGGTTTAATTCCTGGAGTGCTATCTGCTTGGAGTTTGTATGTTCTCCCCATATTCATGCTGGTTTTCTCCCTCAGTCCAAAGACATACTGGCAGATTACTTGGCCCTGGTGTGTGTGTATGCGTGCCCTTCAATAGACTGGTGTCCTGTCCAGGGACCATGCCCTGCTCTGTGCCCAATGCTTGCTGGAGTAGGCCTTGGCTCCCTGTAACCCTATATTGGATAAAACGGAGAAAATGGATGGATTTTCCATGACCATGAATGGGTTCTATACATTACATTCTCAAATTGTGAGTCAATGAGTACAGGTTCTTGGCCAGTGTTTTTCTGGAAAGACAAGCTGTGGCCACAGTCTGTAATGGATATAATAGCAGCACTCTAAAGAAAATATCTGTTTTGAAGTATGTAACATCTGAGGACACCCCAGGTCATAAAACTCTTAGTTGAATTCCATTGAATTCAGTGCTGTCCACGTTTTTCTCAGCAACTGAGAGGGATTTGTCTTTTTCCTGGAAATCACGTGCCCTTTCAAAAAGGAATACTCTTTAAGTTACCTATTTATTTGTGGGGGGGGGGAATATTTTTTAAATGACACATTTCGTGAGGATTTTTAAAGCTACACATGTAGTTGGTTTTCTGTAAGTCTGTTTAATTTGGGAATTTGCAGGTTGTTTTGTGAAGTGGTACCAAGATGCCATTAGAATTGTTCTGGGGTGTGTTCATAACGGCATGAACTGTTGCTATTGCAATGCTGTGGGAAGCTTTTTGTGTATTTTGGCAGTTTCCTATTGGATCTGTGTCAGGAAAATCTGACTTTCTCTTCAAATTAATGTATTTTCTGTGGAACTTCCTGCCTCGTTATTCTCATTGAAAATATTCTGTACTTGCACTGCAGCACACCTCTCCTCCTCCTGCCCACTCGTTGCTATTTTCTCTGCTGCATCCGTCTCTGTCCTCGCTGCCTAGATGAGTGCGAAGGTTTAACCCCCCACCTCTAATGGAGCTCACCCCTCTCCCACTGTGCCCACTCTCTGCAGATGAGTACGACGCTTACATCATTGTGTCTTTCGTCAACGCCACTCTGGTACTGTCCATCGGGGAGACTGTGGAGGAGGTGACGGACTCGGGCTTCCTGGGCACCACGCCTACTCTGTCCTGCTCCCTGCTGGGCGAAGACGCGCTGGTGCAGGTCAGTCGGGCAGTCTCTGTGGGCTAGGAGAGAGGGCTCTGTCGCCCAAGCCAGCCATGACAAAGGCATTCTGGGTCCGGAGCTCGGGACGGGGGGGCGAACACAGTACCTGAAACGACCCCTTCCCTGTTCTCCTTTCAGGTATACCCAGATGGGATCCGGCACATCCGCGCCGACAAACGTGTCAACGAGTGGAAGACGCCGGGGAAGAAAACCATCGTGCGCTGCGCGGTCAATCAGAGGCAGGTGGTCATCGCGCTGACGGGCGGAGAGCTGGTCTACTTCGAGATGGACCCGGTACGGCCAGCTGAGCCCGTGTTTCTTTAAACCTGCCGGTTAGCAGGGTGCTACCTGTAAATGAAGGGAGGGCTAGATTCCCTGATGTGCCGCACAGCTATTTTGTATGTATGATGTATGTACAAGGGAAGAGTTCTCTGCTTTTAGTGCTTTCCTGCATTATTTTTAAACCCTAGGTTCACAAGTGTGGTCCTCAGTTAAATACAGGTCTCTTTAATCAACAACAGCTGAATATCTTTGAAAAGGCTTGAATTCTTCCATTGAAATCAGTTGGTCTAAACACTGCTGGGAGCTCTGTTTTTTAAATATAGGTTCATTTCTTGCATGTTGTGCTCTCTAAATAATGATAGTCTTCCAGTGGGGTCCTTTATCAGGACTACATTGAAACGTTATCACTTTTCTGCTTTTTCATACCCAGCAATGTTTTTTTATTCACGTGTCATTTCTCTCCTGCCCGTCTCGCAGTCGGGCCAGCTGAACGAATACACGGAGCGGAAGGAGATGTCCGCAGACGTGGTGTGCATGAGCCTGGCCAACGTTCCTCCTGGGGAGCAGCGCTCCAGGTTCCTCGCGGTGGGGCTGGTGGACAACACCGTGAGAATCATCTCCCTGGACCCCTCGGTGAGGAGACTGTCCGTGGGTGTCATCCCTACTGGAGGCCTGTCCCCCTGGCTGCCCGTCTCTCTGATCTGATCCCTCCCGTGTCTCTCCAGGACTGCCTGCAGCCCCTCAGCATGCAGGCCCTGCCCGCCCAGCCGGAGTCCCTGTGCATCGTGGAGATGGGCGGAGTGGAGAAGCAGGACGAGCTGGGAGAGAAGGGCTCCATCGGCTTCCTGTACCTCAACATCGGCCTGCAGGTCTGCCACAGTCTGTAGTGCTATAGTCACAATACATCACTGACCATACTTCCTCATCTGTTAGGCATCGTGCTGATGCTTCTGCACAGCAGTGCGTCTTAACATAACAATTCTGAAACTTGGGGGTGTGAGGGGTGTGAACCTTCCTCTCCTCCACCCACGCAATTCTGTGTCCTGTTGCAGCATGACTTTCACTCTCTCCTCTGTCCTCCTTGTGCAGAACGGTGTGTTGCTGAGGACTGTGCTGGACCCAGTGACTGGAGACCTGTCTGACACGCGCACTCGCTACCTGGGGTCGCGACCTGTCAAGCTCTTCCGGGTCAGGATGCAGGGGCAGGAAGCTGTAAGTGTCATACAACACAGTCTTGTATACTGTTAATTTCAAATTCACACTGTGGAGGCTTATGTGCTGTGTACGGAATTGCATGGGTCCATTCCTGAAGAGCTACAGTGTGTATCACTTGTAAATTACAGTTGGTTATTCATTAATTGATCTAAAAAAAAAAGTGTTGATCCCTAGTCTTTAACAAGAAATAGAGTAAAGAAATAGAGTAATGAAAATAGAGTTCATTAAGAGGCGGTCACCTTTAAACGTTGCTGTGTAAATTGCTTAGTTTTTGTCAGTGGTGGTAAGCTGGTGCTGTGGCCTCTCCCCTGCGCAGGTGCTGGCCATGTCCAGCCGCTCCTGGCTCAGTTACTCCTACCAGTCACGCTTCCACCTGACGCCGCTGTCGTACGAAACGCTGGAGTACGCGTCGGGCTTCGCCTCCGAGCAGTGTCCCGAGGGTATCGTGGCCATCTCCACCAACACGCTGCGGTAAGCCTGCGCCCCGTCGGCCCCGCGTGTCCGTTCGCCACCGGTGAGCTGTTTCAGGCGGGGAGGGTTGCCAGATCCACCAGAGGTGGGTTAGAAGTTTGTGGAAATTCTCGTTTCTCTTTGTAACGTCTTTGTAACATCATCAGCTGGAATCCAGTTCTTTTTTTCTTTCCATTGTCCTTTTCTGTGCTTAGGATCGAAGTAGCATGCCAGAATCATCTGTCTGCCTCTTCTCCTCACCCTTCTCTCCACCCTGTGCCTCTTTTGATTCCTCTCTCTCTCTTTCCAGGATTTTGGCACTGGAGAAGCTGGGTGCCGTGTTCAACCAGGTGGCCTTCCCCCTGCAGTACACACCCCGAAAGTTTGTCATCCACCCCGAGACCAGCCTCCTGGTCCTGATCGAGACCGACCACAATGCCTACACCGAGGCCACGAAGGCACAGCGCAAACAACAGATGGCGGAGGTGAGCGGCAAGGCGTGGCCTGGGCGTGGCGCGGGAAGGGGGAGTCTGGGCTGGGCTGACCTCTGAGGCGGGCCTTGTGAATCACAGCACATCTGGGCTTCATGGAAGAGGAATATTCGAGCTGTGCCATGCTGGGTACAGCCCTCAACTGTGTCATGTAGAGTGTTTCTCTGTTCAGGCAATCCATCTCTATAAGGAGCTCCAATTACACCATGAAATAAGTCTACAGTATATATCTGTTTTAGTGGTCGTCATTAATTGCAAAATTATAACTGTTGGTCAGCAGATCCATGGCCAGCACTATTAGCACGTGAGAGCAGTTTTATCCATTATACGTTTCCCTTTGTTTCTTGGAATCCCCCAATAGTGTTCTTGAAGCACTGCACTATAAACCCCACATGTAGGCTGTTATGCGCATTAGTGACCTCCCTGTTACAGAAGAAAGGACTTTGCTGCAATGACTGGAGCTCAGAAAACAGTGACCAGAATAGTTAGGTCGATCCAGTGAGCTATTTCGGGCACGCCGGTGTTTCTACACACTACACATTACCAGCAGCGAGGAGGCTGGTGACACTGGCCAGCCCATATCTGCCTGTGTGCTATTGAACTGGGCTGTACTTCTGATAAAAATGTCTCGGGGACTCATTGACACCACCTCCTCCCCCTGTGTGGTGCTGAACTCCAGAGTTCAGCTCTCATGGCTTGTGCAGGAGCTTAATGAAATCTCCTGAACCTGGCTGTTTTTGGCTAACATGAATGAAAAAGAATACATCGTCTTGAAATCGGTTCCATCTACTCGTATTCTTTCGGTAGGTTTCTCACTGCTCTCGTAGGATGTGTTGCTCTAGTTGCAAAGGGCTTTGTGCACTGGACAGGCATCGCAGAGACCCCCTTAGAGCCACTGAAGGGGCATCCTGCTTGCTGGGGATTGATGCCCTTAATACTGCATATGAGAAGCACTCAATGTCCCCAGCACTGACCTGTATGCCCAGTATAACCAGAGATGGACAGGAATAAGCAGTTTATTACTCTGAATTTGGTGGTGACTACAAAAAGGAGAAAGTACTCTAGAGCCATCAGGTGGAATTGACGAGCCTTCAGACTCGCATGGCTTGTAACATCTCTTCGGATTAATAACTTCTTGAAGCCTACCGAGTTCAGAGAGGTGTACCCCACAGGTCTCTGTCAGTTCTGAGGCACTAGGTTCTATGTATTCTTAGGTACTTTAAATAAGATTTTGTTTGGGTGCCTAGTAGGTTTGAACTGGCTGCCATGGATGCTGTAGAGATGATGAGTTTTTCCATGTCTCTTCTCTGATTAGTAACCCGTGAAGTGGCGTTTGTATCTCTGATCTCAGACCATGGAGCAAGTGACGCACTGCCTGGTGCATTTTGATGTCCAGATGTTACACAGAACATTAGGGGCCCTGTGCTGGCCAGCAGTGGGACAGAGCCTGTATTGTGCTCCTGCTCTGCCTCGCGGCAGTTATAGAGTCGCTTCTCATCTGGTCCCAGTAGTGCTGCAGCTTGCTTTGTCTCTCTCGTGTCTGCTCACTCCCTCTCCGTTCTTCAAGTTACTCTCGTGTCTGCTCACTCCCTCTCCGTTCTTCAAGTTACAGTGCGAATAAATGGAGAACGACCTTGCTGTAGCAGGAGTAGTGTCCCCTCCCTGATGCTGTGTTGGTGTGAGTGCATGCAGTAAACGTTGTCTCTCTCTCCGGCACTCTGCAGGAGATGGTCGAGGCGGCCGGGGAGGACGAGAGGGAGCTGGCAGCAGAGATGGCGGCAGCCTTCCTGAACGAGAACCTCCCTGAAGCGATTTTCGGGGCGCCCAAGGCTGGCGCCGGGCAGTGGGCCTCGCTGGTTCGGCTCGTCAACCCCATCCAGGGCAACACTCTGGACCTGGTGCAGCTGGAGCAGAATGAGGCCGCGTTCAGGTACCAGAAGGCAGGCAAACAGGGAGAGTGGCCAGGGCCATAGAATGGAGTGGGACTCCAGTGGCACAACACCGGCTTTCATACCCGCAGACTGTGGTGCAAATCGCACTTAGAAGCAGGAACGTCAGTGTAAAAATATGCATACTGGAGCTGGTGTGTATATGCGAATGTTTGCATCATGTAAATCCTTTGAAGTGGCTGATAGCCCTTTGTACTGGGAGTCTGTCCCTGTGGCTCTGTGATCTGTGGACAAGTCTGCAGTCAAGGCTGTGTAGTCTCTAGATGTGAGTGAACGCATGGGTTTAGTTATGATTTTTGATAACCGAATTGTGCTTTCTCTCTCTTTGCCTTTTCCTTTCTTATCCTTCTCCCCTCCCATGTCTCGTCTCCCCTTGTTTCTTTCTCACCCTGCGCCCCTCCCGGTGCAGCGTGGCCGTGTGCCGGTTTCCCAGCGGCGGGGACGACTGGTATGTGCTGGTGGGCGTTGCCAGAGACCTTATCCTCAACCCTCGGTCGGTGGGCGGCGGCTTCATCTACACCTATCGGCTGGTAGGGGGCGGGGAAAAGCTGGAGTTCGTGCACAAGGTGAGAACACAACAACTATACCTGAATCACCTCTCTGTGACCTCTGTATGCTCACTAGACGCGATTGAAATAACTACAGCTACAATTTATATTAAAAACTTGAAGTGGTCATTTCCAAATTCCACTTGGACATCTGGCCATATTCAGCATTTAAAAATGTCATGCCCTTATAGAAACTGGAAATACTCTTCATCTTTCTGACAATGAGGCTGTTCATGCTACAAATGTGCATACATATGCAGATAACATGTGGGTGTTTTTTTATTGTACATAACATTGCGTTCTATTGTCTTTTGAGAACCTTTTGGCTGGTGATGATTTTTCTCGTTTGATTTGTCATTTATTTCAGCCAGATCACACTGTTATAAAACTGATTTTGCCGTCTCGCCAGCCTTATTATGAGTTGAATTATAATTTGTACAGAAAGGCACGTTGTGCTCTGCTGTGGGGTTGTAAATGACAGGAACGTTTACCGGCAGTGCCGAAAGGTGGAGGGTGTTGACCTTTAACCTGTCTCGCTAACCCTCCAGCTGGTGAGGTCATCGATCACCTCAGTTACCTTCTGTTCAGAAGTTTCCTTCCTAGTGAGCCGGGAGCCGTCCTTGGGGGTTCTAGACGAAGGGGAAGTGGGGGAGCCCTGTTCCCGGGGCTGTAACGCGCGTCTCTGTGTCTCGTGCCCAGACGCCCGTGGAGGACGTGCCCCTCGCCCTCGCGCCCTTCCAGGGCCGCGTGCTGGTGGGCGTGGGCAAGCTGCTGCGCATCTACGACCTGGGCAAGAAGAAGCTGCTGCGCAAGTGTGAGAACAAGGTCAGCCTCCACCCGAGCTCCCGCCGCCCCGCCCCCTCGGGCTGTGTGAATGAAGGGCAGGCACGGTGCTTCCTGCGGGCTGTACTACACGGCCCTGCCTTTTGGAAGAACATTCCCGAACTCCTCCTGCAGCTGGGGCTTAGGGTGTGGGAGCTGTTGGATTGTCATTCCTGCAGATAATTTAAAACGGCTTTATTGAATCTGCATGTTACATTTTCTGATTGACTTAAACCTTTAGTTTACGTTTTTTTTTAAATGTGCCTGATGGCTTTGGAAAGCTGGCACAATGATTTCATTAAAATGTGGAGTTCAGTTCAGCCCATCTGAGCTCCTCAGCAGCTAATCCATTCCAGGGCACCATGCTCAGCTTCTAGTACGCTACATTGGCTACAGCTTGATGAGTTGCTGTATTCCAGTTGCCCACAAGTGAAACCTTGTACGTGTTGCTGGTTTCCACAGCACATCCCCAATCTGGTGACGGGCATCCACACAGTCGGGCATCGAGTCATCGTTTCGGATGTGCAGGAGAGCCTGTTCTGGGTCCGCTACAAGCGAAACGAGAACCAGCTCATCATTTTCGCCGATGACACGCATCCCCGCTGGGTCACCACCTGCTGCCTACTGGACTACGACACCATGGCCACAGCGGATAAGTTTGGCAACATCAGCATTGTAGGTTCCGCACGTTTGTATTTCTGTGTTTGAGCGCCCGTTTCAGTGACTCATCATGTTTTTCGTTAAGAACATAAGGACAGTGACTAACCTAAGGAACCCGTTGATTCTCATCTAACCCTTTTAGTGGTTAGTAGCTAACTGATTACACTTGCAACTAGTCCCTGTTATTGGGATCTCATCTAGATGTATCTTGAAAGGATAACGGCTTCCACAATGTAGCTGGCTAGATTGGTCCATACTCCTACAACTCTTTGTGTAAAGAACTGCTTCATGTTCTGAGCTTCAAATTCTCTCCCATGTGGTTGTGTACTAGTGTACTCTGCTTTGTGTTTCACTGTTCATTTTGATGTAGTTCGTAGGATTGACTTTGTTAGTGCCCTTGCTTTTTCCATGCTTGTATCTGTTTGCATTTGTATCTCTGATCTCAGCCCATGGAGCAAGTGCCGCCTTTGATGTCCCGATGTTACAAAGAACATTAGGGGCCCTGTGCTGGCCAGCAGTGGGACAGAGCCTGTATTGTGCTCCTGCTCTGTCCCGCGGCAATTATGGAGTTGCTTCTCATCTGGTCCCAGTAGTGCTGCAGCTTGCTTTGTCTCTCTCGTGCCTGCCCACTCCGTCTCCGTTCTTCAGGTTACACGGATTCAACTTGTAATCCCTGTTCAATACTAAAAAGGTTCAGTTCCTGCAGCCTGTCAGCGTAGAAACATTCCCTTTAGCCCTCAGTGGATTTGGGTTTTTTTCTGGACATTCTGGGCCTGTCTTTTCTGTAGTGTGGATATGCATGATATTCTAAGTTCTGTTCACCATACTACACTGCGCTCTACTTTGCAAATGTTGCTGAGACTGAAAATAAACTCAAAACCGGTAGATATGGCACTCCCCAATTTGTATGATGGTGCCATGTGCTGTAAGAAGAAGTAATTTCTCACAGAGCCCTTTTCTTGGGGGATGATGTTAACTCTTTCTCTCAGATTTGACTTTGTCTCAGATTTGGTCATCATGCACAAGGTGCTACCAGCACACACTCACCCCCCCCACCCCCCGCTGCACATTTGTGGTCTGCCTCTGAGTGACCTGTGTGTCCTATTGGTCCACAGGTGCGCCTTCCTCCCAACACCAGCGACGACGTGGACGAGGACCCCACGGGGAACAAGGCATTGTGGGACAGGGGGCTGCTGAATGGCGCCTCCCAGAAGGTAATGGTGCCTGGGTCTGTGAGGAGCCTTCCCTCTGCAGGGAACCTGCTGCCTCTTCTCACAGGCCTGCACTTCGATCCTGCACATACATAAGAACCGTCACGACTGAAGTGGTTGTTCAATAGATAACTGATCCAAGGATCTCATCCAACCATTCCTTGGAAGATGTCACTGAATCTGCTTTGACAAAATGTTTCAGTCTCCCACAACCCTTTGAGTAAAGTAGAGCCTCCTGTTCTCAGTTTTTAACACTTCGCTGTAGATTTCACTTGTTCTGTTTCAGCAGATGCTCTGATGTTTTTCCCCTGTATAACATTAAGCAGTACAGTATTGTATTGAACAGCAATACATTAAGTATGTGTTTGTAACTTTTTTGAGACATTACTTTGTCGACCATGAAGTGACTGGCTGATTCCTGGGCTCATCCGAGCATTTATTGGCTGAACCTGATCCTATAGCTTTTTATTTTCCCCAAAAGTGCATAATGGTGTGTTTAGAGTAAGAGTAACCTCAAACTCCAATGCCCATCTCTTCCACACAAATAGAAAAGTGTTCTTATAACATAGTCAGAAATCAGACAGTCGTCACTTGAATGGATGGCTTGGGGACGAGAGTTTGTGATGAAATTATGCATGTTAATGCAGATGGAAACTGTCCTCTGACTGTGCCGTTTTCTGCCCCCTGCAGGCAGAGGTCGTAATGAACTACCACGTCGGGGAGACGGTGCTGTCGTTGCAGAAGACCACACTGATCCCAGGGGGCTCAGAGTCGCTCGTCTACACCACCCTCTCGGGGGGCATCGGCATCTTGGTGCCCTTCACCTCGCACGAGGTACGCAGGCTTCCAACGCTGCGCACGCCCCAAGGTCCCCTGGTGCTGAAGGAGCACAGCTGCAGGCCGACCAAGGCCGCTAGAAACAAACGCAGAAAAAACACAGCCGCTTTCGGGAACAGAAGGAGAGACGGCAGCCAAAACACTTATCTGCTTTTCGTCAGAATATAAATCATCGGAATATAAAATACAGCTGTTTACTTTTCTCACTTCTCTTTCACCACCAGAAAGTAGGCATCAAAAACCCCTTATGTTTCAGTAATGAAAACAGTGCAGGGACATGGTGGTTCATCATTCCTTGTGCCTTGAGCACTGAGGACCAGCCATCTGCTCTCTAACTGAATAACAAGTCTAGCAGAAGGCTGCCAGGAATGAGCTGGTTTTATCTGTTGTGGAGAGAAAGGCATTCACAGTATTTTACAGTAAATTATTACTATACAGTGAATTTTAAGAAAGGGATTGGCGAGTGGTAAAATCTTTATAAAAGGAGTGTATGATAACATGCTCGGGACAGGAACACTCATATTGTGTTCTTCTTGTTAAAGATGGCACTTCAGGTATGATAGCTCTGTGTTCCCATGCAGGCAAGCCTTAATAGTTTAGGGATTTAAAAGGATGAGCTTCCTTAGTCCACCCTGTGTTCATTGTTCCTGTGTTCTCTCTCACTGCCTCGTAGGACCACGATTTCTTCCAGCACCTCGAGATGCACATGCGGTCTGAATACCCTCCGCTGTGTGGTCGGGACCACCTCAGCTTCCGCTCCTACTACTTCCCTGTCAAGGTGGGGCTTGTTCTGCTTGGGGGGGAGGGGGGGCGGGCGGGAGTGTGGTGAGACAGAGTGGGATGTGGTTATTTTAAAAGCAAGCAGAAAAATGTCATGTATCATCTTGTTGCCCAAAGAAACTTGGTGCTCCCGGCAAATGCACTGTGGCGCAGAGATCAGGCATGTTGCATTAAAAAAAAATGTAACAGCCCATATAATTCTGTTCTTGAGTGTTGAGTTCAGGACATGAACCTGTTGAACTCAAGTGGAAAACAAGTGGGGAAAAAATTAAACAAGAGGTTTTAAGTGGATCTTGACCTGGCGTTTCCAGGGCTTGGGGGTCATATGAGTTGTGAAGTTCAGTCTGCAGGCCTGGGAAGCCCATGCCAAGGCAACTTTCCTGCATATTTTAAAACCCTTTTAAATACTCAGGTCAGCTGAACCTTGACGGTTGTCGCTTAAAGGATCGCATGCTAACTGAGCCTCTCTCCCGTCTGCATGTGTCTACCTGTCTCTGCGTCTGTGCTTGCAGAATGTCATTGACGGCGACCTGTGTGAGCAGTTTAACTCCATGGACCCCAACAAACAGAAGAGCGTGTCTGAGGAGCTGGACCGCACCCCACCAGAGGTGTCCAAGAAGCTAGAAGATATCCGCACCCGCTACGCCTTTTAACGACCCCACTGAGGCGCGGATGAGGACTGGGAGGGGAAGGGCGGGGGACAGGACTTCGCACAAGGGCACAAGGGCCCGCATTGTGCCCAGAACAGAAGTCCTGCTGTGCTGCCTCTCGTTTTGATTCTTGTTGCTGATTTACTGTTTTGTCTCCAGGGAGCTCTGCCCCCTTCCGAGCGATCACAGCCTGACCTGTTTGTGAGCTTTTCTGAATGCCAGTTCTGCGGTTAGGCTTTTCAAAGAATTCCTTTTTTTTAAGAATCTTCAGTGTGGGCCCATAGCAATGCTGTGCTGAACCATGAAGATAAAATCCCAGATTTAACTCTTTAGTTTCAAAACCCAATTTCGGAGATGCCCCTATTCCTTTTAATTTAATCAGCTCTCATTCTTCCTGGATCAGTACTCGTAGGAGTTTTGAGCAACGCTGGCAGGGGTACAGAAAGGTGCCTTTATGAGACTTTTGGGTGTGGGGGGGTTGCTGGACCGTCTTGTACTTGTTTTTGTGTCCTTCAGACTGGGGGACACGAGGTTGCCCCTGGGTTGTGTAGCCCCGAGAGAGGCGTACTTGGCTGGTGGCTCTCCTGCAGCTCCTGCCAGTGTTCTGGGAGGACAGGAGAGACTATTACTGGGCCGTTCGCAGCTGAGTGTGGGAATAGAGCTCTTTTGTAAATAAACTTTTTTACAATCTGTTAAATCTACTTTGTCTCTGTTTCCTGCCCTTACTGAGGGCTTTCGATGTGTGGCTTTGGTATGAAATGATCGATTGCAGTTTTATATGCGCCTGACTGAAGTTACAGGGCCGGGAGGTGGGGGTGTTTTCTCTTGAGTTTCTTGTGGCTTGACCAGTCCAGGTTGATGCGCGTTGACCGACAGCTGAGGCCCATCTTCGTGCTCTGGAGTTCAGAGCATAGCACGGCTGTAGTCACAGGACGCTGTATGAGCACATCATGTGCTTTACATGTCTACGACCAAAATAGACGCATTGTGAATGTCTAGTTGAGCGATTTTTTACAGCAGGGTATTCGTTTGAAATTTTCTTTGTGGTGTGTAATGTTAATACATTTGTCCCAAGTGGGGGAGGGGGGGTGATGATGTTCTAATCAAAGTTGTAGGGTTTTATTCTGCTCTCCTGCCCCTGAGAGACCTCACTGAGAGTAGCTCCAATTCTTGCATCATTCTCCTGTTACACACAGCCTCAGAACGGGCCAAGGCTGGGGTTACCTGCTCTGCTGAGAGCTTCTCTATGGGTGCTGTACCATTATTGCCCATCTGTGGTTGCTGTCGTCCTGGTCCTGTTGTGGAGCCGCAGTCCTGGGAGAGTTTTAAGAGCTGTTAGCCTCCTGTAGGGGCATCAGTTAGTGTTCTGGAAGGACTAGGTGTGAATGTACCAGTTCACTGTGTCACTGTCCCATCTTCTGCTCCAACAGGGAAATCTCAGACCTGTTTTTTTTTTTTCAGGTTGAGGAGGGGACGGTGAACAAAAAGCAGATTTAGGGTTGGTTAAACAAAGTAGCTTTGTTCTAAGCCTTTTTTTTTATTCTAGGAGAGCAGGGCTCGTCAGTGTTGGCAATTCTCAATTCTTGAGAATTGAGGGATTGTTGAGAAGAGAACAAGAAAAGAAAATGGATCCCATTTGTTTTCAATCCTCTGTTTCTCCAGCATCCTGCCAAGATGGCATTTCTTGTGTGGACAGAACTGGCGTGGTCCCCATGTGCCCACACACACTAATTGGTGCAAGTTCCCCTCTCCTTCTCTCTCTCTCACAGTTAGCCCTGAACTGTGCGTGAGCCAGGAAGAAGTGGTGCCCAGCCAGCCCCCAGGCCTGAAGCACAGGGAGTGTTGGAATGCCTTTGAATTTACAGGGAGGAGGGGGTTGCCATCTAACTGCAGTGGACTGGCACAGCCTTTATCGTCCTTCAGTTCTCATCTCTCCTGAGAGCTGGCAGCAATCTGGTGGGAGCTGCAGCGGGGAAAGTACAAGAGCCCGGACATGTTTGTTCTAAACTTGGAGTTTCCAGCATTCCTTCAGCTGACGTTTCCATCACAGGATGTCAGCATAGCCGTTGGGGGTGACCTAGGGCCTCTTCGGTCCCGCAGGCACGAGGAATAGTTTTCACCCCAGTTCATTTCTAAGCGGCTCGGTTGAGCAAATCACTTAACTGGTTGCAGTGAAAACCCAGGTCTTTCCAAACTGGCGTTCTTCTGTGTGTCGAGTTGTAAAAAATTCAATCTGTGAAAATAGAGGAAAAAATGAGGTGGTGTTGTTTTGAAGCAAATTCCTGGATTAGCTGCCCTTCCAAACCGAGGGAGGATTTGGGGCTGATTATGGACCGGTTATGTAACAGAGTAGCGCTTGCTCCACTTTTTCACCGTCGCTCGGTTGAGCTGAGCCAACAGTCCGGCATACCTCTGCTCCTTCTGTTCAGCTTTAACCCAGCACTCCGCGTGTGTGTCGTGTGCTCTAGGGACGCCTATGCTTTCTGCAGAGAATGATTTATCCCGCAGGGCCCTTGGAATTTCCGTACGGAGCGTCCAGTCTGCTTCCAGAGGTTTTCTTTGTGTGCCGGGAAATTCCCCTCCCGTACCAGGCCCAGTCCTCAGTTATTTGATCCAGATGGTGACGGCGTGACCAGTATCCTGGAGGGGCTTAACCCTTGAGAATTTGTCTCAGTGTATCCTTTTATATCCAATCCAGTATCCCCTCTGGAAATCTGGCACTGGGACTCTTTCATTGTGCAAATCCAGCCCCAGCAACCACTTGCTCTGATAAACGACAATCGCCCTTTTAAAGAACTTTTGTGTTATAGCAGAATTTGCATGATTTGTTAATGTGTACTTGCTGTAAGAGGTTTATTGTGAAATAAAGTTTATTTTGATAGGGGAAAAAAAAGAGGAGCCCCTAGTTTGTAGTGTATGTATTCAATGTGTTTGCTAGGCATTAGAGTCGTGTAAAGAAATTGACCGCCACCTCGTGAATGAGATTGTGTAGCATTTTTACACAAGAAAGGGGGGAAGTTTTATTTTTTGAGCAGGTTTATGATCGATACCCAGATGAGCACACGATGTCCCAGGTAACGCGCTGCTCCAGCTGGGAGTTGTAGATGCCCGTTATTTTAAAGAGACCAGAAGGCGGCTCCACAGCCGAAACGTTGTGTTTCTTTTCTCTTTTCAGCATAAAATAAACATTTACTTGTTCCTCATTTTAAGGCCGCTGCGAGATGGGTTTGTCTTTGTTTTTAATCTGCTGTCGGGCACAAAGTTGAAGGCTGTTTTTGCAGCGTTCCAAAAAAAAGTCTCTGTGGATTCAGCTACGTTTTAGAGATTTCCCCTGGTCATCATTCGCTCACTCCTCCTCACCTGGATGGATCTGTCGCTTTTTACTTCTGGTTTTGTTTTTCAGGTGCACGGGGTCTATAAAAATAAAGTAAAAGGCGTCAGGCGTTCGGAACAGGTTGAAATTAATCAAGTTTCAATGTTTACATTCTCGGGGGGTTTTTTCTGATCAGAAGTTGAATCGCAAATTGTCTCGTATTCAGTTTTTAA